AAATTTTACTTTTGATCTCTGCCAAATCTTGGTAATTTGGTCAGCCAGTACTTCAGCGGGCTCAATAGCTTGTTTTTTGGATGCAGATGCATCTAGCTGTATTTCTTCTATATCTCCAAATCAAAATAAAGGCCTTCTTATTTTGGAAAATCTGTGTAAATAAACCCATAGCTTAGAAAGGAAAAAGTCTAGGTAAGTTTTAACCATTGAAAAGTTTGGGTGTCGCCCTTCCCCCTCCCCCATTACTATGAACTTGCTACTCTAGCTTCTCCCTGCTGTAGAAACTAAGTAAAACTGCTTTCTGTTAGTTTGTTGAACATCTGAATATAGCTTGAAGGTATAAGTGTTAACAAAATTTTAAAGAGAAAAGCACTGTAGCCCAAATGATAGAAAACGTAAGCCAGGAAGTTATTCTAAGCCAAATTGCTGCCAGTAATAAAGAGACGTCTTGTTACTCCTGTTCTTAATGTGGGCAGAAGGGTTAGTGGTGGAGGAGCATCAATAGAAAAGACTGTTTGTAAAACCTGTCTCTTATTACAGCTGGTTTTCAAAGAAGACACAGAAGCCCTGGCCTCGGCTCTAAGCTGGGACAAGCAGAAAGCTGAAGCTCTGCAGCAGGCTTGCGATCAGGAGCTCTCTAAGCGTCTACAACAAGTGCAGACTCTGCATTCCCTGAGAAGCACATCAAAGGGCAAGAAAACGCTACCTTGGGGAGACTGGCTTAGTTCAAAACGCAAAAAATAAGGCTGTGCAGCACTGCTTCACGTGTCAAGGAAATACAAGTCTCTTCTGCATTAGAACGAACACAAGCAAGATATGTCCTGGGAACCACAGTTTGCTGCTAAAGCTGTGGTCTGGCTCTGGACAACTAAAATCTGGACATTGTCCTAAGGCTTAAACTCCTATGACGACTCAACTCATGTGTAACCAAAGGGATTTTGACTTTTTGCGGAATACTAGAACAATGGTATTGCTAAACATAGCATGCAAGGGTTCAGCTCTGAATACTGGGTTGTGAGCCAGAAACTTCCATCTGATAATACTGGATCTGTCCTCTGAAGCCTCAGGCACTTGCTTACCTTGTCTTCCTTTCTTTACATTGAAAAGGTGGGAAAATAACTATCTCACAAGGACACTTTGAGGCACAGCTAATGATTAGACAGAAGGTGCTTTTGAGGATTGCTCATTGAACACACACTGCTCATTCTTTGGTGGAGTTTACTGTGATTGGGTCTAGTTAAAATGTCATTATGTAGGGTTTTTTTTTTTTTTTCCCCAGCTGCTGTCGGGCTCTAAGCTCCAGCCTGGGATCTAGGAACTTGAATTCTTATGCCAATTTCATCAGTGAAAGTAAAATTAAAACCCTTTAACTTCCTTGCTCTTTCTGTAAGGTACTCCTGCCTCTTGGGTGCAGTTATTTCTAAAATAGAGCAAAGGTGGAAATGCTTGTTTTGAAAGACTCTGGGGCCTAAGTCTTGTATTCCTGTCTTAATCACTGGCAGAGTATCATGACACTTTTTGTATTAACTGGCTTATTTTCAAATTGGTTGCAGTGGTTTTTTTTAATGTCATTAAAACCTTTTTACCCTTCTGCTGGACTAGTTTTGATACTCCCACTGGCTTCTATGATTAAAGAACGTGGTGATAAGTACAAGACTATCTCAAGGATAGAGGGAGAAGAACTTATATTTTGCCCATGTCTCCTTAAATAGAAGTATTCTATATTTAACATTTCCGAAGATTTTTAGGTATGGCGCACGTTCTCACATTGGTGACACACCAGAACTCTCACTTAGCTCACAAAATATCTTCTCCTGTGAGAACAGATGTATATGGAAGAATCTGAAAGGTGAGCTGAAAAATTGCTGAGAATCAGTTCTACTAGGGGCAAATGTTTCTTCCAGTTTCATGTAACCCCCACTGATTCAACATGACCTTAAATGGTGCAGGATGCCTATCCGTGAGTACTGCTACAGCAGGCATTCAGACTGCATACAATAGGCTGTATGTAATATTGTATTCCAGTTGAATTATGGTACACCACTAGTGTAACTGCAATAAACGCTCTAACCAGTTCTAGTGCCCTTGAGCAAGTGAGCAAAAATGTGGTCTAAGTTCCAATGAAATTACCCACGTGGAACTGACTGGAATTATAGCTAGTTATATAACTCAGAACTGTAATAGGAGCAGTGCAGGCTGTTAAGTACCACCTAGGACTTTAAGGGTGGTGGTGATGGGGGAAGCTTGCAGTCAACTTTTTGGTCGGTCTGTTTTGCTAGAGCAAGTAATTGCTTCTTACAATACATGCTTCTGGCTTGTAATATTATAGGCCATGGCAGGTAAAGAGGTTTCTTGCTGCTTTAAATAGCTACTTAAGATGTTCCTTCTGTTACAAGCTTTTGAAGTTCAAGGCTTTCTGGAATAGCATATTTGGCTGTACATTAGCAGCATTTTTGAAGCATGCTCTTTTATGCTCTGTAAAGCTAATTACAGTGGCTAGCAAATTAAATTGAGTGCAGTGAGCAAACGAGCAGGCAGCAGGCTTTTTCTGTGACCTCACTTCTCGGCTTGCAATTACTGTTGTTCCTATTATAAACCCTTCTCTCACAATTTGCTCAAAGCTGAAATGCTTTTGCTTTTTTTCTTTTTTTCCAGTCTCAACTTAGCAATGGAAATCTTCCCGGTCATGCTGTATAAGAGGAAAGAAAGGTTTTTACTTGTAGCCTGTTTCATAGATATGTAAAATCGCAGATAAGGTAACTGCTTTGATCCTGCATGTATTAGGAATATTTAACTCACCTACTTGCAGGCAAAAATTGAGTTGGAGTCACAGAGACCACATTGATCCTTCTAGTAGGAAGGCAGTGATGGTCCTTCCAATCTATCATTAAGGGAAAAAACAGAGAGCTTTCTTTACTCTTTTTTCCTCCTTTTTTCCTCCAGAGTTAGAACTCTTCAGATGCCTGTAAATCACTAAATATTGCAGTTCTTACTACAGAATAAATGCTATCTTGAATGTGACACTGCAGTCACAATGTATTCCCCTTGCCTAAAATCCTCAGCAGGATTAAGTAAGAGGTATTCAGTCTTACATTTGATAGTGTCTAGCTACAGTGCAATGTGGTACTTTCCAGGGGCATGACCTAATGTAGAGGAAAAAGGGGAGAGAAAAGGTTTAATTACAAAGAGAAGGGATTAGTTAATGGGTAAGAGCACTCACTGGTAAATGTCTTGAAAGGGGCAGGTACTGCTGAAGCATCATAAAGCAAACCTTCAGTGGGATGCTATGGTAATAAGAGCAGGGAAACTCAGAAGAAATTGCTGATATTTCTAGGCCACAAAGGACGCCTGTGTCTTATTGGCTGACCGGCTCTGACAGCTTTGCAAAAACTTAATTTGTTGGCGCCGTCCTCTCAGGTAAAGGTGGAGGTAGATTACTGCACTTTGCATCTATTTGCTCCTATTAGCGCTTGCAGAAGAAGCAAGTGTTCTTCACAGCGCGGAGGAACAGTAACTTTGTAAGTGCCTGATGTAGATGATAAACTTTCTTATGGGAAGGAAAGTGATGGCTTGCTTCTGATTAATATACAGAACATAGAGCTAGGCTCCTTTTCCTACAGAGGTTTTATATCAGTAACAAGAACAGCAGTACTCCGCAAGATTGTCTGCGGTGAGTTGATGGCCACTTGGCAATCATGGAGAAGTTGCCACTAACTCACTGTAATTATGCTTTGCACAGACTACTTCTGTGGTATATAGGCTGCTCTGTCAATCTTCAAGGAGTTAGTTCAAAATCTAAAAGAACCGAGTATCTGGAAGGTACTAAGCTTGCCAATTTATTTGCATTTTTAAAAAAACTTATTCTTTCTATTCCTTCTTATTTCTTCTTTTCTTTTTTAGTGTAAATGCCAAGAAGGAAGAAACATGACACACTGTGTCAAAATAAAACTTCTTAGTGTCTAATAGTAGTCTTGGGTGTTACTTGCAACAAGAATAAGTATATAGAATTTGGAAGAGTCAAGCATTATTAGTCAACATCTTTCAAACCTCTCCACTGAAAAATGAGAGGTGATTAGCTAAGAGGCTAGTAGACTTCAGTGCTGTATCTCATCCCGTAATTTCTATGAAAAATCATTTTTAATGGTCAAGTTTATATACTGCTTCTTGGATCTTTTTCAATAGTACCATCAATTGAATGAAGCTGAAAACTCCTAAAACATCTTCATTTAATGCGTTTTTAAACCTAGCAGTTCAATTGACCTTGTAAATTGATTTTGTTTTTTAAGTAAGTGTAGGCTTTATTATTGATCTTTAGATCATTATGTTACCGAGCCTCAACTCAGTGTTAGAATCCCCTGTCTTTGGTAACAAAGAGCTGCTGCCACAACTAGTATTTCCATAGCAAATGATCACGAAACATTTCAGTAAACCAACTTTAGCTTTCAGTCAGCACCTGCTATACACAAGTAGAGTGTATGCATGCGTGTTTGGAGAGGAAGTGACAAAGGGAGACTTCAGATAAGGACTACTTCATCACAGAACAGAGCTAACAAACTTAGAGACATCTCCCTTCTTGACCCCTTGGGTCTTACCTTGTTCTTAATGACCTCAAAGGAAAACAGGTCAGCTGTGTGACAGACAGACTTGAAAGATAGCTACTATGTTATCAAAATGTTTAAATGCTTCTACAAGCCTAGCAATCCTGTGAAAGCAGTATTAATTTTCTAATCAAGAAAGGAATAGGATAAACAATAGAAACAAATCAAATAGAACTGGGCATGCCTTTAACCAGACCCTTATCTAAGTTACTCTTTCAAAGACAGAACAGTGTAGACAAGAGCAATAGTTGATACTTGATCATTCTCTGCTTATCTTGCCCTTTTCATATAAGTTCTTCCTGTACTGGAAGGGTACCAGCTCCCTTGTTCAGCAGTATTAAATAGGTGGGAAGTGAAGTAGGTAGTGATAGATATATATAGCATAGTGATTCACAGAGCTGTACAACAATCTCCTTTCCCTGCCTGCATACTTACTTTCTCCCTAGGACTTTGAGGTTTAGTATTTTCTTACAGTGCATACCTTTTTAAAGATCAAGTGTTGAGATGCAAGTCAGGAGAATTTACCATACTCTGTAACTGGATTTAACCCTAAATTAGATCTACGTTTTGCAAACCTGAAAAGTGTATTTGGTGTTCGTCTAAGCTGCACAGACGTTATGCTGAGTAAATAAGCCAAAATTAGTACTTCCTTGCTCTTGTTTCTGTAACACCTCAGAAGCTTTCACATTAAGTAGGGTGACTGAGCTGCATGTTATTCACGAGAATGGATTTTGCATGGGGGCTCAAGAGGGAGGGATACAGCATGGAGGGAGGTCTAAAGTATGGCCAGAAGATCTGTGAAAACCTAGAATGGCTGCCCATTTAGCTCTTTTCACGGTAGAAATTTTAGAATGTCAAAGCCTTGAGTGCAAAAATTTCTCCTTTACTTTGTCAAGCCAACAACTTACCTTGCAACAGACGTTTATTCTCAGCAAATCCATTGCTGAAGAAGGAATAGCCTCAAGGAATGGTGTTCAACACTGCAATATTGATCTCTCTCGTAAAGCATCCTGAAGAACCTTTTGCATCTGGTATGGGATTAGGCTGAGGACCAGAGTATTTTAAGGTAAATAAGGTCTCGTGAACCTCAGGAAAGCAAGCAAGTAATGTGTGATGGCATTAAAAAAAAAAAAGTGATGTGAAAAATAAGTAAATGTAAATAAGTTGCAGGTGTATCAGGAAGAGACTCCCTGTTGATTACAGGTCTCAGAATTGCTACAGTTTATCTATCTAGGTTCCATCAGTCAGTGAAATTATTATTCCAAAAGAAACTGTACCTCATCCCTAAGAGCAGAGCAGCTTGGGACAGGGAAAAGAGAGGGTACATGCAAGTGTCAGCGTAAAAAATTTACCATACAGAGCCAGAGATAGGGATTCACACTGTTCCTATTTTCTTCTATGCTATAGCACTTGATTTTATTTCATCCATATTGGATAGTTACAGGCTGTAACAAGCCTTTTTTTCCTCCCTGCCCACTACTACTAAAATATCTTTTACTACTTAAGAGCTCAAGTACAGATCTAGAATAATGGGAGCATCTATTAGGAGTCCGGAGTGTTACTCTTTTCCAATCTGTCATGTACCACTGAACAATTCTCAAGTCTAGAAAGCGTACTCAGTTTTAAAGAGAGAAGGATTATAAACAAGTAGCAATGCTACACCTAGAAGCTGTCCACTGCGAGCAAAAATATTTTTCAATCTTCACCTTTCTTTATCTTGAGGAAGTATTTAAGGGCTGAGTCTTACTAAAATGAGAACCTGATGGATTTAAACATTTCTTTGGGGAACAGCCCTAACCTGTCTTCTCCAGGACTGGAACAAGTAGCTTCAAGGAAGAGCTTGTCTCATTGGTCTAGGGCTGAGCAAGGGAGGAACAGTCTTTCTTCTTCCACTGCTTAGTTGAGGCTATCCTAGGCAAGCATCCTCTCACTTGCTGGAATTTCTCACACAGTATCTTAATCAGATACTGATCCTCATTTCTGTAGGCTGTATCTAATGACTCATATCCTTAAATCTGCCTTTTTTTTTTTTTTTTAAATTAACCAGCACTTGGTCAGTCTGTATCAGTCCAGCAGAGGGCAATGGTGATGTATTTCAGAACACCATTAAGGAGATCATATTCCTTTAGTAAATTTTAAGTGTCACGCAACCTACTGAAAGTGAGGATCATACATAGGAGAAAGTGACGAAAAAATGTTTTAATTGTCAAGACAACAGTTGAGAGATATGCTACTAAAAAGTAAAATAATAATACCTAAACAAAAGTATTAACAACAGAAGCAAGGACGAATCACACCGTTAGTGGAGAAACTAAGTATCAGCATGGAGGGAGGTGCACATACTGAAGTTTTACGCTGAGTAAGAATGCTTTGCTCTAAATTTTAGATAAAGGGGTTTTTTTTTTTTTTTAATGACAGTAAGATCTCTCTTAGTGAGCAATTTAGGCAATTTTGTCTGTAAACTTTGCTGAATTCTAACAGTCTTCAGCTTTGGAACTAAAAAAACAACTAATCACATTCACCTAAAAGACTAAATCTTCAACACTTCCACTAACCTGCAAGAGCAATCTCTGACTGCGCTACAGTAATAAGAAAAAATGATCAGAGAAGTTACTTGAAAGGAAAATCATGCCATGTTGGAATCTTCACTTTCAGCCACAGCTGCTTCTTGTTCCTCAGAAAGTCTCCCTGCCTTTGCTGAGCTGGACTTCTTTTTCTTCCTTTCCTTTTGCTCCATGTTACTTGATACAAGTTCTTCACTCTTCTGCGTGATATACTTTAGCTGAGAACAATAAATTAGTCAGTCATCTAATGTTGAAACTTCATTTGTTCATGTATCTTAAGAGAAATTAACTGGGCAAATTCTTATTTGAAAAAAAGACAAGCATAAAACAGTTTTAATTCTTGCCCAAAGCCCTCAGTCTAAGGTGGATATCCTTAGATATGTGAAATGCCCTGGCAAGACTAGGATTTATAAGCGTATGCTATATCCACCACTAGAACCGTAACAGCAATGTCAGTACTTATACAGAGCAGTAGTTTGCAGAGATACAATCTGAATATGGAGACAGCGCAAGAGTCCTCTAGACCCAACTGAAATGAACAACAGCTGATAGCTGGAAACACATAATTCAGCTCCAGCATCTACTGTCTTCAGAGGTGAGTTTGTAGCATATTCCAAATCATAAATGGAAGGAGAAACCTACTCACATAAAACTAAAATTAGCACATGAAGTATTTTGTAAAGAGGTGTGTTAATTTGCACATATATTCTATTTTTGAATAGAAGCACGTGTTTAGACTGTAAAGTCCTCAGAATCCAGGAAGAGGTGCATTTTCTGTTTTTACACCATGCTGAATACAATTGTGGTGGTTAACAAATAATAAATGACAACAAGGGTTTCCTCTTTGTGAAGACACTGTCCTCTTCTTCACATCAAAAGTAAGAGTTTACAGGTACGTCTTTAACATAGAGTCCAGCGGACTTCCATTCGCTCAATACAGACCAGCATATGAGAGAATACAACGAGGTGAGCCATCCCTGTATTAACAATGATAGGAAACTCAGCAGCTCAAGGAAAATTCAAGCTATCCCTGACCTTAAGCTAAAAACAAAGGAACACATCATCAGGAAAAACAAAACAAAACAATGATTTACTTCCCCTACTGACAGTGCTGCAATGTGTCTGTTTATTGCATTTTTGTACTTGGAACTTCAGCGACTCTGTTGTAGCCCAAACACCACTCCTTGAATTGCAATCAGATCTATGTCCCCATAGTGAGGCATAGTGTCAAGAAGCAGAATAAGATATGGAGGAGGAAAAAAAAAAACAAATTGCTAAGAACAAATCGCTGGTTAGGAGACGAGCTTGCCCATCTATCTTCTGTAAACCAGTGAAACTGCTTAAGCAACAGTTGCTTCATCATTCATGGCCTTCATTCAAATGCTCTTGAGAATTAACCAATTGATTTAAAAAGAATGTTGTGAGAAAGAAAACACAGTTAATCTCACCAAAGAATTGCTCCTTCTAGCCAAAAGCTTCACATCTTCTGCCGTGACCGTGCTTCGTTTTGCATGCCTGCATAAAATTAAAAAATTAACCTCGATGTGTTTGCCAGCATTAGTTATGTGAGGCCTTAAGACGTGTCATTCAGAACAATAACTAATAGGACTAAACTGAGACCCAGTAAACCAAATGTGCCCGTTTACTCCAAATATAACACACAAAAGCCTTTTTACAAATGCTTTTGTGTACATCTAAACTCCCACACTTCTGTGTAGAAAGAGTAGAACTTTGCAACCAGCACATCAAGCATCACTGCTCTTCTTATTTCCCAACAGGTTACTGGGTGAGTTTTGACTCAGAGCAGCAGACACTAATTCTTTAAAATATTCCCTTACCTCCTTGGAGCAACCAGATGAAACATAGGCATGCTAGTAAGCAGTTGCCACTCCCACATCAACTGGTACCACTAAATAGCAACCCATTTGACAATTATATGAAGTCATTAATTTAAATAGTCTCTTGTATCATTTAAAATGGATTTTCAAGATGAGGAAGAACAGAGGGGATTTGGGGAGGGATGCAGGACTTCTCTGAAGAGTCATAAACAGAGAGAATTGCAGTGGTCTTGAAGGACAACAAAAGCTTGACCTGCATTTCACAGACAGGCCAATAGAACCCTTTGAAACGTGAAGTACAAGAGAGATTTTTAGAGATTATCCAGTTATTTGACTGGCGTGCAAGAGAAGCAAGTCTTTGTAACAATCAAGTGCTCCAGTACCTACCTTGCAAACATTTCAAGGTCTTTTGCAAAGTTTTCTGAAGGAAAAAAAAAGAAAAAAGACACCCAATACTTTAAAATGCTCTGAGTAGAAAAAAAAATATATACTATATATACACCTTTCACACTTCTGTAGCTATAACAAAGATCAAAAATACAGCTCAGATGTATAATGCCTATTAATTTTCAAATATTTCACAGAGTAAATATAGGACCAATGAGGCTGAGGAAGGGCAAACACATACAAATAAATACAAAAAACAGTCCTGTACACCTGCGCAGGAGCTGACAAGATGTTCTTCATGCAGAAGCCGCTATGTAAGGTTAGCTAATAAACTGCTCCCCACAAAGGAACTAACCAGATTAAATTATACATTTAAGATCTTATTCTGAGATGCTATAATAACTCCCTGCTGTAGCAGGGATGTAGATGTGTGCTAGTGCATGTGAGAAATTAAAACTAGATGATCAGACCACCAAACAGTACGCAGTTTCTAAATTCTTATACTTTAACCCTCGCATATTCAGAAAAGAAGTAGAGCTCATTGCTTCAGGTGCAACTGCGTTACCATGAATCAAAGTAAGTTATGAGAAGCAATCATAGCTTTTCTTATGTGTCACTTTGTTGCACAGAGGACAGCCCACACAGAACACTTCACATGTATTTAAATGCTCTTTCCAGTCCTGAAAAACAGAATTAGCATTTCTTGTACTTTAAGAAGTGTGATGCAAGAAACACTCCATCAGTGATAACTGGTTCCAGTGCTATTTTTTTTAAAAGCATTCAATCTCCAGCAATTGCTCTAGAACAGATACACGCAAACTTCTGTACCACATTGCCTGAAGGTGATCTCTGAAATAGCTGCAATGGCTTGTTTGCTGAACTGCATGTCTCTGTCTTCTGCAACATCCTGACACAGACAGCCAACAGTGTAGTGAACTGCAGCTTTTAGCCTCTGAAACGATGCAAAAGAATTACAGCTCAGCTCTCTACAGATTGACGTACCAGGTCGAACGTAAACAATAACAAATTAAAAGGATGCAACATAAATCGCTGTTTAAACGCACTGACACCCCCCCCCCAGCCCCCTCCGCAACATCCCGTTTACCACCCCGCGCCTCCTACGAGCACAGCGCTGTAAAACACACGCAGGGGATCCCCTGCCCGCGCGTTTAAAATTATCGCGGACGAACAACGT